CAACAGCGGGGAACGTGCCCGTCTTGCCCTGTCCTCACCATGGTCGGTGGTCGGTATGCTTGAACCCTCTGTTGCAGCTACTGCGTCAATCCCTCTCAGCGAGGATTTCCCTCGTTTTCACCGACTCTCTACCAAACGTGATGTTCTTTTCTAGGGATTGGTCTTTCCTGATGTTGTGTCTGAAGTATTTAGGACTACTGTAATTTCTCTCAGGAGCACTTGTGTGTTTCAACGTAGAGATTTTGCCCATCTTTCATTAGATTTACCCCTAGGTATTAATTCTTAGCATTTATACCTAGGATACTATTGTAAATGTTAAAGTGTAAAATTTTTAGTTTCTATTTATTCTTTGGTAGTATACAGAAATACAATTGATTTTCTAATATTGACCTTCTATTGAGAGACTTGCTAAATTTTCTTATTACTTCAAACGGTATGTCTGTAGATTGGCTTGGATTTTGTATTTCACAATCATGATGTCTGTAAATAATGACAATTTCATTTCTTCCCTTCTAATCTTTTTTGTTCTGTCTTTGCACTGTTGCCTTGTTGCACTGGTCAGAACCTGCCGTACAATGTTGAGTAGAAAAGGTGATAGCAGATGCGCATCTTATTCTCAATCTCAGGAGGAAAGCTTTCAATAGTTCATCTTAAGGATGATGTTTGCTGTAGGAATTTTATAAATATTCTTTACTGGATTATGGAAGTTTGCATCTACTCCTAATTTGTTAAGAGTTCTTATGAATGTGTAGTGGACTTTGGCAAATTCTTCTTCTGTGTCTATTCAGATGACCTATGATTTCCCTCCCTCCTCCCCATAGCTTTTTATTTGTATATTCTTTTGTTATTATCTGGAAACCCTGGTGGCGCAGGGGTTAAGAGTTTGGGAGCAGTTCTACTCTGTCCTGTACGGTCGCTATGAGTCAGAACGGACTCGATAGAGATGAGTTTTGGTTTGGTTTTGTTATCATCTTACCCTAGAGAGTTAAAAAATGTATCCTTAATTCATTAAATAAATACTTTCTATGTTAAATACTTTTCTCTTCCCAAACAATGCAAGAAGCTTAGAGCAGCTTAACTCTCCACTTTTGTGTGATTGCTGTGATATATTTTACTTTTACGTAGTTTGTACATTCCACAAGACATTATTGTTATTATGTTTTAAACAGTCAGTACGCCTGTTTAGTTACTTTTTCCAACGCCTTCATTTCTTCTGCAGTTCCTGAGAATCTGAGGTCATTCTCCTTTGGGCTAAAGAACACCTTTTATTATTCATTTAGTGCAGGCTTCCTGGCTATGAATTCCTTCAGCTTTTTTCATTTTTCTTTTGGTAAAGCCTCTAGTTCATCTTCATTTCTGAAGGATATTTTCGCTGAATATAGAACTGTAGCGTGACAATGTGCCCTTTCAACACTTTAAGGAAATCATCGTCTCTGGGCTTTCATCATTTTTACTGAGAAGACAGCTATATTAATGCTGTTGTTTTTAAGGTAATGTGAATATTTTTTCTGGTTGCTTTAAAATTTCTCTCCTTTTTGAGTTTTCATCAGTTTTACTAGGAAGTGTCAAGGTGTGGTTTTCTCATGTATCCTGTTGGGGCTTGCAGAGCTTTCTCTGTGGTTTGGTGTCTTACCAGCTGTCATGGATTGAATTGTGTCCTGCAAAAATGTGTGTCAACTTGGCTGGGCCATGATTCTCAGTACTGTGTGATTGTCCACCATTTTGTCATCTGATGTGGCTTTCCTGTGTGTTGTAAATCCTACCTCTATGATGTTGATGAGGTTAGATTAGCGGCAGTTATGTTAATGAGGCAAGACTCAATCTACAAGATTAGACTGTATTTTGAGTCAATCTCTTTTGAGATATAAAAGAGAGAAGTGAGCAGAGAGACATGGGGGCCTCATACCACCAAGAAACAAGGGCCAAGAGAATAGTGCATCCTTTGGACCCGGGGTCCCTGCGCTGAGAAGCTCCTCAACCAGGGGAAGATTGATGACAAAGACCTTCCCCTAGAGCCGACAGAGAGAGAAAGCCTTCCCCTGGAGCTGATACCCTGAATTTGAACTTGTAGTCTCCCAGACGGTGAGAGAATAAATTTCTGTTTGTTAAAGCCATCCACTAGTGGTATTTCTGTTACAGCAGCACTAGATCACTAAGACACAGTTTTAGAAAATTTTCAGGTTTGGTAAGAAGAGGGAGGGGTTCCTGGCCTGGCCCCGACTGGCTCTCAAACAGGCACTGTTGACTGTCACCCTGGAGGGCGGGGTATGACGGAGACTCTGACACTTTGTTTCAAAATGTCTATGTTGTTCCACCCTGAAAAGACAGGATTTAATTATTACTTAGGTCTAAGTAAACATTTTCAGTAGAAAATTACTGTGCCTTCTTTGGCCGTGGTATTGTTACCTGGGCCAGCGCCCTCCAGCTGAAGGCCAGCAGGCACTCCGCTGGGGTTGAAGGAGGGAGGTCTGCTCACTGCAGCAGAAGGCACTGCCTGGGGAGTCTCTGCAAGGGGGTGGCAGGAGGTGCAGTGTTGGCTTTGGGCTTGTTTGGGGCGGCCCTGGGGCTTTGCTCCGGATTGGATGGTGTCAGGAGGCAGGGTCGGTCTACGCCTGGGTGATATCCACATCTCGGGAAGGAGGCAGACCAGAGCAAGGCTGGAGATTGGCTGGGATGCGTCCGTCTGCTCCTCGTCTCGTCCAGACATAATTAATTACAGTGTGGGCTCGTGTATGTCTTGATCCGTTAGGGTTGCAGGGTGAAACTGTTTATATTCTAAACAGAATTCCGAGGCTTATCTCCGAGGCGCAGGCTGGCACCCAGCACCACCAGGCCTATCTGTGACTGCAGGCCAGCCCCCAGCACCACCAGGCCAGGCTCTGAGTGCAGGCCAGCCCCCAGGGCCACCAGGCCTATCTGTGACTGCAGGCCAGCCCCCAGGGCCACCAGGCCGGGCTCTGAGTGCAGGCCAGCCCCCAGCGCCACCAGGCCAGCCTTTGAGTGCAGGCCAGTCCCCTGGCACTGGGGCTGTCTCTTTTCTCACCTGAAAACTTAAGCTGGTTGGCCCCACACCCACAGTTGCTCTGGTATCATTCTACTTCATGAATCAACAGGGTGGCTTTCTACAAACAACTGCCAGGACCTGAAGGGCTTGGGCTGTCTGGCAGCAACGCCTCTGCTCCAGCCCCCTGGCCTTGCACTGCCCCCACCCCATGCCTGTGGACCCAGCCCTCACAGGGAGCTGTCCCCAAGACGTAGCTTAGCCAAGAGTTTGCACCCACCTTGGACTGTCCTTACACTGGGGATTATTCTGATGCGTTCCCCTAACCGTGTTAATGCTCCGTGGCTTCCTTTCAGTGTGAAATCCTGACGGGCCAGGGCCTGGGCTGCACTGAGGGGTTCCCCTTGTCAGCGCCTTGAGCACCCCCGGGCAGGATGACGAAAGGCACCTGTGCTGGGAATTGGGCCAGAAGTGGGTAGTGCTGTGCTGCCGGCCTGGTGCTCAGGAGCGCTCCATGCTCGGGGTGCTCCGTGCAGGAGGCTCGTCAACAAGCAGTGTGACTCCAGTTAGCAGTGCCAAGACAGGCAGCTGCCACGGAGAGTGTAGGGGACCCAGCATGGGGCCTGGGGCGGCGGGGGGCCACAATGGTGGACAGCGCTATAGGGTGGCACCTGCTGGTGGCCCAGGCCCAGCAGGTCAGGCTGGTGCCAGGGCCAAGGGCGCAGGCAGATGGCAGGGCCATGCATCGGGCTGAGGACATGAACTTCATCTGATGGGCAGCACGTGACCCCGTGCTTTAGAAACGCACTGGCGGCTGGGTGGAGGCCGCAGCGTGGAGTGGGCTGAGGAGCCTGTATCAGGCACAGCGGCAGGGTTTACCGAGGGGTGTGATACAGACAGGACGTTGTCACCTCTGGGAGAGGACCGTCTGTTTCCTGCCCAGGTGCCTGGGAGTGGAACACCGTTCACTGAGGTAAGAGATGCAAAGTGGCAGGTTTGGCGTGGGGTGGGGGTGTGGAAGATGCATCTGGGTGGCCTGGGCTGCAGCATAGGGTCCTGCAAGGGGGCTGGGTGCCAGGCACACACGTGGAGGGAGCAGGCTGGCAGGGAAATAGCTGGAGCCTCCGGGTGAACCGCACAGGAAGGCCTCAGTGGGGTGTCCGGGACCAAGGCTGCCTCTGTCCCAGAGCCTGGGGGAGGGCTCAGGATAGTGGGTCCTCAGCCAGGTCTGGCTTAGGCAGTGGAGGGACCCTCACTGAACGCTGCCCAAGCATCCAGGGGGTGGGCTGAGGGTCCTGGAAGGGGGGCCTGGTGAGGCTGCAGGGACACGGGAGCAGGCTGAGGCCTGACTGGCCAGGCCAGTCCAGCTCTCTAACTTGGGCTCCAGCCTGCAGGGTTCTCGTGGGGAAGGCGGGGGGCGGGGAGGGTGGCTTTGTGTGAGCCTAGCCCTGTGGCATATTCAGGGTGCCCACTCTGAGACTGTGCAGAGCCTGGGAGGCTCCGGGATTCCCACGGAGGACTGGCTGGCCATGGGGTGAGCCTGGGGCTCACAGGCACCCTTCCCCATCACTCTGCAGCTGTCCCCAGAAGGAGCCAATGTGGGACACAGCCAGCTCCTCCCCACCATGTGGCCAGGCAGGGTGATGTGGGCCTCAGGGAGACTGTGGAACAGGAAGCGGAGAGGTAGACGTGCTTAAAGGATTAACTGCTCACAGCCTCCTCCAGGCCTCTCAGTCCCTCCGCTAAGTGTGGACGCCTGAGTCCCCTGCCACGCTCCCAGGAAAACGCACACAGAGGCTGGGTGAGAAGACCACCCAGCGCAGAGGGCAAAGGCGTTTCCGCTTCTTGGAACTTTAATGACGGCAGAACAGAGGAAAGTGTCCCCCCCCCCCCCGAAACATCCCCAGCCCCTCTGTCCTTGGAGCTCAGCACAGGGATGAGGACCCTCACCCACATGCCCGAAAGAGCGGCACTCCAGGGTTGGGGGGTGGGAGGGGCGGCTATGCCAGGCTGGGAAGCTGGGACAGAAGGGGAGACGTGCACCCTCTTCTCTTGGCTCAATCCCTCTTCCCTGGGACCTGATGTTGCCCCCAGACCCTGGGCGGGGCTGGCAGGCAGGGCTCATGCAACAGTGAGGGGCAGGAGGTGGCACAGACGCCCTGCCCGTCACCCCAGGCGGGGGCGGGAGGGTTACAAGAGGCCATGCGTGGCCACGCGGGTCCGTACAGAGTGTCTGCGGTGCACATACAGGTCGGAGAGGGCGCCCTCCACCCCAGGCTGCGCCCAGGACCAGAGGGGGGAGGTACAGGTGGCACTGCCATGCCAGGGGCGGGGTCCTGGCCAGCCCCAGGGGGGCATGGCGAGCCAGTGGCACGGCCTACTCCTTTGCGCGGCCAATGATGGCGAGAATGTAGAGAAAGATGTTGATGATGTCCGTGTAGAGGTTCAGCGCCGCAAACACGTACTCCTCAGGGCTTAGTGACAGCTGCTTGTTCCCCAGCAGCAGCTGGGTATCGACTGCCAAGAACTGGGGCGACAGCGCGGCCATGCTGAGAGAATGCCCGGCCCCCCAGGCACACAGACCCACTGCCCGCCTGCCCATGCCCCTACTCACGCAGGTGAAGAGCAGGGCGCCCAGCGAGGCGTACACAATCTCCAGGATACGGTTCCGAATGAAGATGCAGAGAATGGCGAAGATGAGCAGCACCACCACGCTCACCAGGAGCACCCCCATGCATGAAGTGAAGTCGTAGCGGGTCTGCAGGAACACAAGCGAGACGGAAGCCTGGGTGCCGGGCTCTGGGGAGGCCCTGGCCCCATGGCTGCAGCCTGCCTCGGGGCCTCACCTGCATGGAGAAAATGACCACAGTGAAGCAGACGGTCGTGGTGATGCCCACAGCCATGATGACGGCCTCAGTGTCATAGAAGCTGGCGATCATGCCCACCATGTAGGACAGGCTGACAGTCAGGATCGACTGCAAGAAGATGGGGAGGACCACCACCCGCTGTGAGTGTGCTGAGTCACCCCTGCCCCCACTGTATCCCGCTGCAGGCAGAGGGGATCCAGGGTGACCAGGCTCCAGGGCGGGGGACCATGGGGCTGGAAGGCTGGGCCTGGGGGCCGAGGGCCCAGGGTTACCAGTGCAATGAGGTTCCAGGGGTGCTTTCGCCGGAAGTCCCCGCAGCAGCTAAGGACAATGAGGGAAACAAAGAAGACGGCATAGGAGACATAATAGGTCCAGACGTTCGCCCGGACAAAGTCCTTCACGCCCCTGACGAACGTGAACACGGCCACGGAGGACAAAGTCACTGACAGCTGCAGGGTCAGGACCAGGAACACCTGCAAGAGAAGAGGTTCAGACGCTGCCTGCCCACCTGCGCCCAGGTGACAGGTGCAAGGTCAGCACCAGGCACACCTG